TTTAATTAAAAATAGGCATATGTTGCCTTTTGAAGTAAATAAATGACTTTTCTAAGTACGAAGTTCTAAATATAAAAGACAAAGAGATTCATTGAAATCAAGCATGTTTTAGGCTTAAAAATAAACAAACAGTCTCATATTTATCAAATGGTGAATATCATTTAAAAAATTTATGTCTTGTGGATAGAACTCTAAAATTGTAAAGCTCAAGAACTCACCATAAACTCATCCTAAGACCTTAAATCTTTTCTAGATAAAATGAGTAGCAGAAGCAGATCATTGTGTCTCAAAGCATGACCTCCAAGTGTGTAACATAAACTGAACCACAAAAGGATAAAAGGGAAGTGTATAAACCATAATTTCCTTAAAACTAATCAGTTTAAACAAAGATGTTGATCACATATTGCTAAATGAAAAACAATGACGATTTGATCAAAATTGACATTAATATGTTTTTGAGTAAGTGAATCCTCTTACTCTCAATCACACATGAATGACAACTAAGAAATTTTCATATTCTTTACAGAAGCATGAAGACGCTTGAATTTCAAGGGAAAAAAGAGATAATGCAGACCTATTTTGTGGAAGCAAACTGAGGTGATTTTCTTCGAGTCCCCAAATTCCACTTCGACTCTGCTTTTCACTCAAGTTCAATCTCTATAAAATGAAGATCAATATACGAAATTTAATTTTTTTCACTACATACTAATAATTACAAGTTTAATAGTTGATCTGTAGTTATTTTAGAAAGTTACCATATTATTAGAAAGTTATCAAATTACCTTTCAAAAGTAAATAATACATTCTCAACAACTAATACATAGTACTAATTAATAAGCTACATACCTTCATAAGTTAGATAGTTATTTGACTAGTTAGAGATATTATTCCAAAATTACTTCACTAAATAGTTTCTACTTTCTAACTCCTCTGTTTCAGAGGGTTATATTTAGACCACTACTACAGTTTCAAGTTCCTTAACAAGAGAGATTAACAAGGTATTAGATTTTCACCTATCAGATTCTTTAATCTAGTATAGAGGGTTGTAAGAAATAAGAATTGTCTTTCATGCATATATATATCCTATAAGTATCTAGTGAATGGTTTGGGGCATGAGTGTGGTGCTCCTACATTTTCAACTTCGAAATGACCTGGATTTCTTTTGGTAAGAAGTCGTCACAAATATCATTTCTAAAGTAAGGCAAAAAATGAGAAATCCAAATCAGATTTTCAACTCACATTAGTTTTGCTGTTTGCAAGTACTTTTATTATGTATGTTGTAGTCAATGCACTGCCCATTTTATATGTTATCAAGATAGTACCAAATATAAAATGAAGAACTTTGGAACCAATCCAGGCTACTATTAATGCATCATAAAATACCTTAGCAGTTAACACCTCGATCGGTTCAACTTTTCTACTAAAATTTACTCCATCAAATAGCAAGAGAGTTGGTTGAAACTACATTTAAGTGTTTTTTGCATCGTGGATTACATTCTCTATTTTTCAAACATAAGCTTAAGTAGCCGCAAATATTGTAAACTCAGTATTACATTCCCTGTAATATTTTTAAAGGTAAATTAGGAACCATCATCAGTACTATTGACCTACAAAATGTTGATAATATCTTCAGTAGTATTTTTTCTCAAATATAACCACATAGATATTTGGCCATACCTTGCCAATTGTCCGAAACTCAAGCTTATAAGCAGGACCTGCAAGATCAGCTATCGTTGTCAGTTCTCCTTGTTGTGACTAGTATGAATAGCTCTTCTAGTGTATCAGGTAATATTATTAGCTTCACATTCTGCTCCTGCAATGAATTGATGTTGTTTCTCATGTGAATATTAACTCTCTTCTTGATGGATTTTCCCCCAATTGCACCAGTTTGACTTCTATTACCTGAATAAGAATAGCATGGGACCTTATGGATGCTTTTGTTTCCTCCATGTTCTGTGTAGAGTTGATCTTCTTTCCACCTTTTTTCTACTAGACTCGGAGCCATTTCAATATGCCCATTGGAAACTACAGAATGATCAAGAACTATATAGTGTTCACGTCCACCACTTTCACTTTCATTTTCAACTTGTTTATTGGTTCTAGCTTCTAATGTTTGTATATTTATACTAATCAGATTGCTAGGATTTGTTGGCGTATCTTGCTTAGAAACATGAGAACAGTTGTTGAAGACTAAACATGGATCGCTTTCCTCGTCCACATTATCAAAGCCTCCAAATCCTTCCAGGTTTTATTTATCAAAAAGAAAAAGGATCAAAGAAAGTTGAGTGTATATTACAACTTTTCTCATTATAGTTGTGTGTCGCACAATTTTTTATCATATCCTTCTACACATACCTGAAAATGATTTCTCATTATAATCTGTTCATCTTCTTGATTGTCGTGAAGAATGTTCAGAAATGTTTTCCTACTCGGACATAAAATTTTAGAAATTTCAGTTGTTGTAACAACATATGGTTGTGGCCTTCCAAGTAAAACACTTATTTCTCCAAATGATTCTCGAGCAACAGCCTTCCCAATGATCTGTTTTTGAACATATTTCATAAAAAATAAGTTAAGGCTAATGTGTTTGAAAATGATATAATGAATGTTGAATGTGTTATACTTACTTGTTCACGTCCATCGCTATCTACTAGAATATCCTGCAATAGTATACATAACTGATTAATAACACGAAAAATAAATTCGATGTGTTCAAATAATTGTTCCCAACATATTAACTTACCAATGCTCCTGAGACTATTATGTAAAAATCTGTTTGAGACTCATTCTGTAAAATCACATCTTCCTTGGAAGGATAGTATTCAACGTCCATTTCAGGAACCTTAAAAGCAGGAAATAAACCATTGAATATACGTTGTATACGCCAAGTGAGAAGGGGATCAGAACAATGTAGAACAATAAATTACCAGTTGGAAAAGCAGATCCCTGGAAACGCCTCTGAACAGACTAACATTTTGAACTATTGGTAAAAACAGGTAATGTGCAATGCTTGATCTGATAGCTTTTGGCAGAACATTCATGGGGTCTTTTTGTTGATGAATAATTATTTTATAATTCATGAGCAGATACAAGTCCATTTCAAGAAGACATCAATGAAGGATCAACTACAGAATAGTCACAACACAGGCTACATTCTATTATAACAGGAAATAGACCTAAAGTCATGTCAAACAATTGCACTTTTGATAATTTAATGGAGCAAAAAGAAGAGGTACTTCAACAATTAGAAGGAATCAGTAAAGGAGAAAAGAGGAAAATCAGAAGTATGATGATGATATACAAGAAATTATCCACCCATGGAACTTCACAATAGCTCATATA